GCGCGAAAGACGCGGCCAGTAGCGTCAGCCGTTGTTGTGATCCAGCCATAGGTTCTTGCATCGTGCTCCGAACACGAATTCGTACTGTTCGGGTTCGTGCTTCCATTTGCCATGTTGCGTTGATGCAGCTGGCAAGATGGTGACCCCAACTGAACGCATACAGATTGCGTTGCTTGATATCCGATGCCGAACCAAATCTCCTGGTCGATTTTGGAGGTCGCCGTTGCGATCGCGGTGACCACAAAGCGGGGCAACGTTTTTGCGAAGATGTGGTATGCTCCTTCCCAGCCCCCCCGTTTGCGATGTAGGCGTGGCTTGAAATTATCAATATCGCGACAGAGGGTTGTCAGCTTATGTCCAACATCGGCAGGCAGGTTTTCGTATGGGTCGATTACCTTTCAAATCGCTTCATTCGGACCGAAGGCGCCCCTGGCGCAGCGCACAGACGGTTGGAAATAGCTGGTTCGTGATCAGGCTGACGTGCAACAGTTTCTGAATTGATTGCGAGTCTGTCGGCCCTGCCAAACTGCGAACAGGTCTGAGACTGTCCTTGGAAGCCTTCTCACCGCAGCCTGGCGACCTCGTCAACTGGGGACGCACGGTACATGATTTGTAGTTGATGTGAAGAGACCCTTGTTGAGTAATTCATAGGCATTTGAAAATAGTTGGCAGCGTTGGTTAGGAGTTTTTGTTGTCGTGCAATATTTGCATCATTGCGTGCGCGACTGTCAGCTCAAGTTGGGAGTCTGTCCTAGCCTCAGGCTTACATGCGCGCTACATCAGAATCGCAGCTCTTAACTGCACGTGCTCCGATAGGTGGGGCGCTGTTGCTATGCTGGGCCGCCACATGCGCTGAGTCCACATATACCGGGTGATGAGGTTCTGACGTGCGTGTCCGCCTTAGTGGGTCATCTACGCTCGCCTTGAGATGTCTCGACCAGCATAATACGCGACACGTGCCTCCCCCTTTGTGTGGCCACGTCACCCCCATAATCCCGAGAGCATGCCCCAGAGCATCTGCATCGGAGTCGACTTCCCGCCCTATGCGCGAGTTCCCCTGCAGGGTGAGCGGTTTTGGTACATGGGTGTTCTTGTCAACGTGAGGCAACTGAACGTCGATGTGAGCGCCTGGCTGTTCGGCAAACTCGCGTGCGCAATAGCATTCGGCTGTCATTTACTGCAATTGCCGTCATCGCAGGATGGCTGAATGCTATTCCAGTGAAGCTCCAATGCCAGCTCTGAACGTTTGCAGTCCTGTTTCCCTGGTTGTTTGAATTCCGCGACCCCTGCTCGGTTCTATTTCGTCAGCCCCGACCCCAGTATAGCTGGATGCTCTCATGTGCCACCGCAAATGGAGTATCGGAGCTCGGTCTCGATGGTGCTCGTTTCTGAGAAGCTTTACATTTCATCATCATAGTCCACGATGGCTCATTGTGCAACCCATGTCATGCTCGAAGCACGATGAACAAGCCGAAGCTAGGCATGGATGCCGTGAAGCAATCCGAAGCGCGCCAGCAGACAGGGACCATTGCAGTTCAAACTTCGCGCAAGAAGTCGCGTATTCCCCGCTGTCCCCAGTAGAGCACAATCTCATGCACGAGAGACAATCTGAGGATCGAGGTCGCGCCTCTCGTCGTCGTTGTCTCTGGGTTGTTGGCAGCGCTGTGTCGGCAGCCGTTGCTCGTACAGCTTGCAACGAGCAAGCGTTTTCCATGGGGCGACGTAGGCGTCTCCCATGCTCGAATGTCTTGCCCGCTGCCACCCTTACAGCGCACGGTGATGACCTCATGTACGAGAGACATCGGCATTCGAGTGCGGATAGTTGCTTGGTCTCAGTGCTCACGTTGCGGTCATGGTCTGGCACCATGACTGGTAAGTTCCAGTTTCTTGACGAGTGCATTTTTGCGTTGGTTTTTGGGTTGCAGGGGTGCAAGAAGCGTTGTGGGATGCTCAATTTACGTGCGTATGTGCGGATGCCTGGCGTTGTTTTTTTGGTGATGTTCTCTTTTGGCAGTCAGTGCATTGCAAGCGAGTGTCTACTTCTCTATATTCTGAGTGGCTCAGTCAGAACTGGTCTTGTTAGGGGATTGCACGTTTATCACGCTGGCCACCTGAGAGACGCACCGGTGAAACATATCTGTCCCAATATATACTCATTCAAGTACGGGTTCCTATCAGGTGTAGAAGGCGATGAAGATCCCATCAGCCGAGGGTGCTATACCCGTCTGAGGATTGACCATGTATTCGTATTGGCAGAGCCTGCCACGTTTTCGGTTTGGGCACTTGCATGTCATGCGGATAAGAAGGTATGCGGATTGTTGTCAAGTCCTTGGATTCTGTTTTACCAGGCAAGGAATCTTTGTGAATTCTGACGTAGGCTATTTATTCCAGAGCGCACGCTTGTGTGGCGTTATTGAGTTCGTTGGTTTTGTGATGCCAGTCATGATACTTGTGTGCGACGGGCATGGGTGAATTGACCGAAGACGCCTCCACCGAGTCATATTAGCATGTTTGCGATTCGTGGGCTCTTCTGGGGATTGGTGGGCTGGTCGTGGGGCCTCTCTGGCCTTTATGACAGGTTCTCCATCTCTCTCTTTCTTTCTCTTTGTCTCTGTCTCTCTTCGGATTGGTGGATGGCTGGTTGGTTGATTTGCACAATGGCTGGCAGGTTGGCAGCTTGACCAGCTGGCTGTTTATCTGGCTGGTTGGCAGTATGGCCGTCCTGTGGGTCGGTTGGCTAGCTGATTGTTCGATTGGTGATTCCTCTCGGTTCGCGGGGTGCACGTCCGGAGCACGTCTGGAGCACGTAAAGACTGTGGTTTGGCCTGCTAGTCTGCCGCGAAGTTTTGCCGCGCCGTTCTGCCCGCCCCCCTTGCGCTGCCAGTGCCACGGGGGCGGATGCGCCCCACCCCGTTTCAGCTCTGGGACGAGCGTGCGAATATCCCGAGGGCAGTGGGCATTCACCGCGTGTCAGCGCAAGGCAACGCCAAGTTCAAATTCCGACGGGCATTCGTAGCAACAACGAGCCATTCGCATACAATTCCGCGGATGTCTCGGTGGTTTCTTGGGGCCGTTCAGGGGCTTCTTGGGGGCCTCTTGGAAGCTTCTTGCGGGCTCTTTGGGGCTTCTTGGGGGGCCTCTTTGGGGCCTCTTGTGGCCTTGTGGGGGCGTCGTGGGTCGTCTCTGGGCTCTCTTGCGCCGTCTGGCCCCTTCGGAGGCCGTCTTGGGGGCCTCTCGGGGCCGCCTTGTGGCTCTCTTGGGGTCCTCTTGGACCGTCTTGGGGGCCTCTTGAGCCTTCTCGGGGACCTCTGTGGGCCATCTTGGGATCCTCTAGAGCCGCCTTGAGGCCCTGTTGGGGGCCTCTGGGGCTGTCTTTGGGCCGTCTTGGAGGCTGCTGTTGGCCTCTGGAGCAGCTCTTGGGGGCCCCCTTGGAGTGTCTTGGCGGCCTCTCGTACCCTCTTGGGGCCATCTTGGGCCCTCTTGGGCCCCAAGAGGCCCAAGAGGCCCGAATATACAGTTTCTTCAGGTTTTGAAGCCCAGAAAAGGTCGGGCACCTTTGGTTCATGGATGTTGCGTGACTCTGGTGGGGGGGTTCGGGGAAGTTATGTAATAAGTTTGGATATTCCAGTATGTAGCAATTACGCAAAAACAGACTTTCATACATGGGGTACGTTGCATCAAGGCGTTCGCCGAGAAAACGGTGCCGCTCAGCACGTCACAGCACGGAAAGACTGGGCGTTGTGTGGTTTGCCCTGCTCGTCTTCAGGCAGGTTGGCAGCTTGACTGGCTGGTTGTTTATCTGGCTGGTTGGCAGTTTAGCCGTCCTGTGGGTGGGTTGGCTGGCTGATTGTTTGACCGGTGATTTCTCTCGTTTCGTGGGGTGCACGTCCGGAGAACGTCTGGAGTACGGAAAGACAGGGCGCTGGGTGGTTTGCCCTGCTCGTCTGCCGCGGAGTTCTGCCGCGTCGTTCTGACCGCCCCAGGGCGCTGCCAGCGCCGCGGGGGGCGGGTCGGCCCGCGCTCCACCCCCCGGCTTAAGCTCTGGGACGAGCGTGCGAATGTCCACGAGGGCCATGGGCATTCACTCGGTATCGTTTAACTGATCCCCATCCCCCATCCCCATCCTCCTCCTTCTCCTCCTTCTCCTCCTCCTCCTCCATCTCCTCCTCCATCTCCTCCCCCCTCCTCCTCCTCCTCCTCCTCCTCCTCCTCCTCCTCCTCCTCCTCCTCCTCCTCCTCCTCCTCCTCGGGTCGCCTACGGCCCCGGGGGAAACCGTCCACCGAAGACCCCACGGTGTCGGCGGATTGGCTGGTTGGGTGCCGTGCCGTGACCGGTCGGATGGGGCCAGGACGAGGGCGAGTCCCCGTTCCGGTGCGCTCCCGGACGCTCTCAGAGCGTTCCGGAACGTTGTGAGAAGGCCGCGGCGCCCGGGTCCTCCTCCAGAGCCGCCGGATTCCAGAGTTTCCTCCATGTTCCTTGCCCGCTCTGCACGCACGAGATGGGTGCAGAAAGAATGGGTACAATGCCCAACCGCAGTTCCTGTTCATCTTGGACAGGATTCTTCGGGCAAGTTGGCGTCGGCCTCTTCGATTCTCGATCCCTGGGCTTCTGTGGCTCGATCCGCGGTGTTCCCCGCGGCCTCGGCCGCCCCCCCCCCTGGCGAGCCCCCGCACTTGAGCGCCCAGAGGGGGCGCGCGGCGCGGGTCGCGGGGGGAGGGAGGAGGAAAGCGAGGAGGAGGGAGCGAGGAGCGAGGAGGAGCACGACAGGGAGAGCGAGGAGGAGCGCGAGGAGGAGCACGGGGAGGAAAAAGACGAGGGAGCGAGGAGGAAGCGAGGAGGCGAAAGGAGGAAGCGAGGAGGAGAATGAGGAGAAAGACGAGGAATTGAAGAGGAGGAGGAAAAGGAGGAGGAGGAGGAGGAGGAGGAGGAGGAGGAGGAGGAGGAGGAGGAGGAGAGTTTGGAAAACGCCTGCCTCGCGGCCCTGCGCGCGCCGCGCGAGGTCTCCGCCGCCGCGGCAGCCGCCGCGCCCGCCGGCACGGGGCTCACGGGCCGCCCGCCGCCCGCCCTCCGACGCCGAGGATGACGACGACTACGGCGACGACGAGGACGACGACGAGGACGAGGACGGCGGCGAGGACGACGACGACGAGGACGACGACGAGCACGACGACGACGTCGTCTACGACGACGACGACGACGAGGACGAGGACGACGACGACGTCGACTACGACGACGAGGACGACGAGGACGACGAGGACGACGAGGACGATGGCGCCGGGGACGACGACGACGTCGACTACGACGACGACGACTACGTGGACGAGGACGGCGGCGAGGAGGAGGAGGAGGAGGACGACGACGACGTCGATGATTAGACAGACTGGCCTTTGGGGCCGGGAGCCTGTTGTTGTGATACTTCCCCCCCGCCCTCCTCGGGCACGCGCCTGGCCGGCCGACTGGCCAGACGGAGCCGAAGCGGAGCGGAAGCCGAAGATTCGGAGGCTATTTGGTCAATAGTCCCCCCCCACGTTCTTGTGGTAGTCGTCATCTTGCTCAGGTGGCTTGCGCCATTCCGCCGACCCCCCAGAAGGAGCGAGTGCTTGAGACGATTCTGGAAGGTAGTTCTCGAGTGGGTCAGGAGCTTCTGGGATGCATCTGATGGACTCGTGGGACGCCTCTCTGGGGCTCCCCTGGGGTCGTCCAGGGGGTCCTTGCGGCCCGTCGTGAAGGCATCCTGGGCCGTCGTGGACGTCTCAGAGAGACGTGGAAATGTTGTGGACGTCCCGGAGTGATGTGGAGCTGCTGTGGACTGCACCTGGGGTGTCCGAGAGACTCGCTCCCCCCGCAATCTTCCGTTACAGTCAACCCGCCGGTAAGGATGGACAGCTTCTCCCAAGGGTGCCCTTGCGGCCTTGCCTCCTCGGCCCATCCTTGACCGCCTTCACTGGCCGCGCCGGGTCGACATGGCCTCCCGAGGCCCTTGCATCCTTGCCGTGCGTCCTCACTGTACGGGCTGACTGCAATCGTCATCCCCACACTCCCGACGTCGTGACTTTTGCACACGTCGGCCCCTCGGAGGTCTGGACCCCTCCCCCGGGACCAGCTTCTTCTCTCGAGCCGTTTTTTGACGGCCCCGAGGCCTGGGAAGGGCCCCCCGGAGGCCGAGCGTGGCGAAAAACCTCCTTCGTGTTTTTTTCACGACGCGAGGGTGTCTGGGATTGGTTTAAGTCGGGCGTGTCCTTCTACGGGAGGAACATTCAAACGTAGGCAAAACATAGTCAGGGGACGATTTTTTGATTAGTTTTGAATCATTGTTGGATTTTTTGGGGTATTTATAATTTTTCGTGCAGAATCGGCCTCTAGGGGGACGTGCCCGACAGGTCTGGGACCATGATGTCGCTCGCGCCCTCAAGAAGCCGGCCGTGCGCCCGCGCCTCCAGAAGCCGGCCGTGCGCCCGCGCCGCGCCAGGCCACTTCTTCGGGCCCGGGCTCCCCGCGTCGCCGGACGCGGCTGGCCTCCGGACGGCCTACTTCCTGCGTCCGGCCGTCGTGGCCACGGCGCTTTCGCGCCGCCGCCCATTGCCCTCTTCCCCGCCCTCCCCCCCCCCGTCCTGTCTCCTCCCTCCTCCCTCCTCCTTCCTACAATTTAGTCCCGTGTGCTACACAGCTAACTTTGACCAATGTGTACACCACGACTGTGGACCAGAGACCATCGGCAAGGCCCCCACCAGGCTCCTAGGGTTTCGTATGCCCACGCTTGCGGCCAACCTACTTAGTGCAGGATCTAATGGACGATGCAACCACCCCAAAGGATCCCATCTTTCACTGCAGGGAAAAGACGAGCACGTGAGGTTTCGTACGAGTCGTAAGAAAACCTACCCGACAAACATGTGCAAGCATATTGCACCAGCCATTGCCGACACGATCCAGTCCCAGTTTGCCTCACCTGCTGAGTGTGATGTGAATGCAGAGGGCTCCGACACAACTTTGGTCGAGGATCTCTGGACTTTCTATTGCAAGGAGACAGGAGAGGAATTCGCAGTTGCATCAGACTTTGCGCGTCAGGTACCACAAGCACAGCGTCAGAGGGTGGATCCAGAAATGCACCGATTCATGGAAGGACGGGAGCAGTATGAAGATGATCCGAACACCAGCTCCCGACCCAGCTCCCGCTCCTGCTCCTGAGCCCTCTCCTCCCCTTTTTCCTGGGGACCTGAGCTCTGAGCTAGATGTCGATGCTTTCTTGGGGCCTCCGCCCGTTCCCTCTCCCCCCCCGCCTCCCCCGCCCTCTCTCACAGCAGAGCAGCTCGCCCGTATAGCTGCCCACCGGAGGGAGGCCAAGATCCGGAGGGAGGCCGAGCGAGCTGCCGAACACCGGCAGCGTGCGCCCTGGCAGGGCGCCCTCGGCTTCTCCTTCGGCCCCCCCCCGCAGGCGGGCCGACTTTCCTTTTGCTTGTAGCACCCAGCTGCATGCAGTATCCAGAGCACAGACACCATGTCTCACGCCACCGTGCCACCACACCTGCCTCCTCCCTCCCTCCTCCCTCCTCCCTCTTGCCTCCCCTCCCGCCGCCCCCCCCTCCCCTCTCCCCACCCCTCTTCTCCTCTCTCCCCTCCCTCCTCCCCTCCTTCCTCGCTCCTTCCCTCCTCCCCCGCTCCCTCCCTCCTCCCCTCCCCTCACCGTCGTCCCCTTCCAGGAGGGAGGGGGGGGATTTTTTTTGCGACGTAGGAGGGAGGGAGGGGATTTAAGCCCACGTTTGAATCAATTCCCTCCCCTCCCTCCTCCCTCCCCGTACCCCCCCTCCCACTTCTCCAGATGAGCGGTCCGTCCGCGTCGCTAGCTAGTCCTGCCTCCCCCTCGTACGGAGGTAGCTTGGGTAGCTGCGTGAGGAGCGCGGGTAGCCGCCCGGCCCGTGTCGAGGCAACCCCGTGCGGGGGTGTTGTTTCGTTGACCCCCCGCCCTCCTTCCTCCACCCCTTCCCTTCCGCACGAGCCCTTGTGCTTAGCCGAATGGCCCAAAGCGTCCCCAGACCTCCTCGCGCCATGCGCGAAACCACGACGTTTTTTTGGGGGGGGTTGGCCACTTTCGGGCTCTGGGGGGCCCTCGCCGGGCCCCGGGGCCTTCAATGGGTCGAGGCTTCAGGGGGTCGACGTTATCAACAAATTATGAAGTCGGGGTTCCGATTCTTCCCCCGCCCCGCACTCCCCCCTCCCTCCAACCTCTCCCCTTACCCTCCCTCCCTTTTCTTTTCCCTCTCACGTGCCAGGCTGCTTTTTGTTAGTCTGCTTTTTGGGGTCTTCCTAGCCCACTGGGCAGCACTTCTGGCCATCCTGAAGCACGCTATCGCGCTGCCCGCGTCAAGCAAAAGACAGTTCCCCTCCTCCATCCTCTCTCTCTCTCTCTCTCTCTCCTTGCTCATTCCTGCTTCTTCCATTCCTTCTACCAGTGGCTCACGATGAGTGCAACTCTCCTTTCTCCCGTGTCGGAGTCCCGCCGCTCGCCCGCCCCGTCCCGCGGATGAGTTGCTCGCAGGATTTCGACGATCCTTTTTCCCCCCCCTTGTGCGAATCTTTCATCGGAACGTCTTCGGTCCGCCAGGTTGCTGTCACAATCGGCGTTCAGGATGGCCTTGTCCGGCATGGCACCCCGCATCCTTCGGCTCTGTCCATCCTTTGCGCGTTTTCGACCTCCCCGGCCCAAGGGCACCCCTGCGGACGCTGAGGCGTGAACAGGAAGGGGTGGTGGGGAGGAGGAGGGGAGACTGGGAGGGTCGGGGAGGTGATGGGAGGAGGGATGCGGAGAGAAACCCGGGGGCGGGGGGGGAAGGACTTGGAATGTGAGGGATGAGGGGAGGCTTTGGAGTGTCAGAGTGGTGGCGCAGGGGAAAGGAGGGGATTGCAACGGGAGGTGAAGTGGATGAGGGTCGGGGAGGGAGGAATGGCCCGCAGCTTGTGGCCAGGGTGGACCACCCAGAGTTCGCCAGCAAAGGCTTGCAGCTGGCGCGACGATTAACATCACCCCCAGTTTGGATGGCTAGCATGGCGTTTCTCGTGTTCGGCTCTACACTTGAGTCGGGTCTGTCCCTCTACAGGAGGAATATTCAAAAATAACAAAATAGTCAGGGCACGATCTTTTAGTGTGATTAGCATTTTTTTGTATTCTCTGTCTACTTTTAATTTTTCGTCCAAAATCCCCATGTCGGAGGACAGGCCCGACTTAACTCTACACCTTAGGATTGCCTTCGTTGTGGTTCTCTCTATGGGGCCTGAGGCTCTCGGCGAAGGGGCTGAGGTTTTTGCCCCTCGTTCTTGCGACCCTGTTTCGACTGTGATCGAGGCCGCCTGCTGCGAATCACTGCCGCCCCCTGCCTGTGAGAAGCGCCTACGTGGCCGAACGTCGCGGCCAGGGCTCGGCCAGGCCTTCGTACCATGTGTTCCCCCAGCCGCTGTGGACGTCTTCGAAGAACACATGGGGGCGACATCAGAAGAAGAGGGGATAGAGAGAGAGAGAGAGGAACGAGGAGGAGGAGAAGGAGGAGGACGATGATCCTGATGGTGGTGATGATTGTCATCACGATGATAATGATGAGGAGGATGATGAGGACGATGAGGATGAGGATGCGGATGATGAGGATGAGGATGGATGATGCTGATGCTGCTGATGGTGGGGGTGGTGGTTGTAGTGGTGGTGGTGGTGCTGCTGCTGATGATGCTGATTATTTTGATAATGCTAATTATTTTGATGGTCCTGCTGTTGCTTCTGCTGCTGCTGCTGATGATGCTGATGATGATGCTGGTGCTGCTGACGATGCTGCAGCTGCTGATGATGCTGCTACTGAGGATGATGATACTGATGATGAGTTTAATGATGCTGCTGCTGCTGATGTTCATGATGTTGATGCTGATGCTGATGATCTGCTGCTGATGATCTGCTGCTGATGATGCTGCTGCTGATGATGCTGATACTGGTGGTGGTGATGATGATGGAACTGCTGGTGATGATGTTCATGATGCTGCTGCTGCTAATCATGATCATGCTGATGCTGATGTCGATGATGCTGCTGGTGATGCTGATGATGATGCGGATGATCACCATGATGATGACGATGATGAGGATGAGGACGAGGATGATGATGGCGATGCTGCTGATGATGGTGATGATGCTCATGTTGATGACGATGATAATGTTGCTGGTGGTGGTTGAGGCGGTGCTGCTGCGGATGATTGCCGATGGTGAGGATAATGATGCTGATGCAAGAGATGCTGGTGCTGGTGGTCGTGGTGGTGATGCTTGTCATCACGCTGATCGTACTTATGATTCTGATGATGCTGATGTTGATGGTGATGATGAGGACGAGGACGAGGATGCGAGTGATGAGGATGAGGATGAGGATGAGGATTATAATGAGGATGAGGATGAGGTTGAGGATGGATGATGCTGCTGATGATGATGATGGTGGTGGTGGTGGCGGTGGTGCTGCTGCTGATGCTGATCATGATGATGCTGATTATTTTGATGATGCTGCTGCTGCTGATGATGATGATGACGCTGCTACTGAGGATGATGATTTTGATTATGCTGCTGCTGCTGATGATGATGATGATGATGATGATGGTGATGGTGCTGATGATGCTAATGATGCTGTTGCTGCTGCTGATGATGATGATGATACTGGATGGGGTAATGATGATGGTAATGATGGTGATGATGGTCATGCTGATGCTGCTGATGATGATGCTGATGATGATGATGCTGCTGACGATGATGATGATGACGCTGATGATGATGCGGATGATCACCATGATGCTGATGACGATTGTGGGGATGGCGATGAGGCTGATGATGATGGCGATGCTGATGATGCTGATGACGATGATTATGATGATTATGATGATGATGATGATGATGATGATGATGATGATGATGATGATGATGATGATGATGCTGTTCGTGCTGATGACGATGACCACGTGGGTGGTGGTGGTTGTGAAGGTGCTGCTGCGGATGGTTGCTGATGATGAGGATGGTTGTGATGATGCTGGAGATGGTGGTGGTGGTGGTCGTGGTGGTGATGATTGTTATCACTATGATGATGATGAAGATGATGGTAATGCTGATTGTGATGGTGATGCTGATGAGGAGCATGATGATGATGATGCTGATGATGATGATGGTGGTGGTGGTGGTGGTGGTGTTGCTATTTCTCATGCTGGTGATGGTGGTGATGCTGATGCTGATAATTCTCCTTCTGCTGCGGGTGGTGGTGATGATGCTGATGATGATGATGCTGATGCTGCTGCTGCTGATGATGATGATGATGATGATGATGCAATGTTTGATTATGCTGCTTATGCTGTTGCTGATGATGATGCTGATGCGGCTGCTGCTGCTGATGATGATGATGGTGGTGGTGCTGGTGCTATTTCTCATGGTGGTGATTGTGGTGATACTGATGCTGATGCTAATCATGCTGCTGCTGCTGGTGGTGGTGATCAGGATGATGCTGATGATGATAATGCTGATGCTGCTGCTGGTGATGATGATGTGATGATGGGGATGATGATGATGATGATGATGATGATGATGATGATGATGATGGTTTGTATGGTGTTTCGTGCGGCCTTCTTTGAAGCTTCCAGTGGCGCCTCATTCAGTTCGCTGTGGCTATTTGCTCATCGGTTTGCGCCTTCGTTGGTGTCTGCGTTCTCGCGGCGCGTCCATTAGTTTCTCCCAGTGGTGCTCAGCCCGATGCGCCTGTTAGTTCGCGCGGTCGTCATCGTTGCCAAAGCGCGTTGGGGCTTCAAGGGCCCCTCCCTCTCCCCCCAACCCGCGTTCGCGATTGTCCCAGAGGCCGAGTGTGCCTTCGGGGCGCTTTGACGTACCATGCAATGAATTCCAGGGCTGCCTTTCAGTTTTTGTTCAGACAAACGTTACTTCAGACCAGCGACCCACTGGGCTCGCCCTGGTCAGCCACGCGCAGAGATGGGTAGGGGGAGGGGTGAGGGCTTCTTAGAAGCACCCCTGCTTCCTAAATGGCGCGGGCCCTGTCATTAGGTGTAAGGCCGGCGCCCTCTAAGAAGCAGCCTCCTCCTACGAAGCCTTTCCCCCCCCCCTTCCCTTCTTGTGCGCGCCGCCAGCCCAGGCCCCCGACATCGTGCCTTCCTGACAGCGTCGACCCTCAGAGGTCTGGACCCCTTCCCTGGGACCGGTCTTTCCTCCCGAGCCGTTTTTTGACGGTCCCGAGGCCCAGTGAGGGCCTTGCGGGGTCGAACATGGTGAAAATACGGCCGTCGTGATTTTTTCTTGCGTCGTCGTCGGCGTCGGCGTCGTCATCGTCGTCGGCGTCGGCGTCGGCGTCGTCGTCGCGGTCGCGGTCGTGGTCGTCGTCGCCGTGGTCGTCGTGGTCGTCGTGGTCGTCGTGGTCGTCGTGGTCGTCGTCGTCGTCGTCGTGGTCGTCCTGGCCGTGGTGGTGGTGGTGGTGGTCGTCGTCGTTTTTGTGGTCCTCGTCGTCGTGGTCGGCATCGGCATCGGCGTCGGCGTCGTCGTCATCGTGGTGGTCGTCGTATGTCCTTATGCGTTCCGCTGGGCTCGTCCTGGACCGTCCTGCTGTGCTGCTCCCCAGGGTCCCGCCGCGCGTTGTCGTCGTGGTGGTCGTCGTTGTCGTGGTCGTCGTGGTGGTCGCCGTCGTTTTCGTCGTCGCGTTCGTGGTCGTGGTCGTCGTCGTCGTCGTCGTCGTCGTCGTCGTCGTCGTCGTCACGGTCGTGTTCGTCGTCGTCGCCGTCGTGGCCGTCGTGGTCGTAGTGGTCGTCGTGTTCGTCGTGGTCGTCGTAGTCGTCGTGGTCGTCGTCGTCGTCGTGGTCGTCGTGGTCGTCGTGGTCGTGGTCGGTGTCGTGGTCATCGGGGTCGTCGTAGTCGTGGTCGTCGTGTTCGTTGTGGTCGTCGTGTTCGTCGTGGTCGTCGTAGTCGTCGTGAGCGTCGTCGTCGTCGTGGTCGTCGTGGTCGTCGTGGTCGTGGTCGGTGTCGTGGTCATCGGGGTCGTCGTAGTCGTGGTCGTCGTGGTCGTGGTCATCCTTGTCTTCGTCTTCGGCGTAGTCGTCGTCGTCGTCGTGGTCGTCGTCGTCGTCGTGGTCGTCATTGTCGTTGTCGTCGTGGTCGTGGTCGTGCGCGTCGTCAGTGTCGGCGCCAGCGACGTCGTCGTCGCGGTCGTCGTCGTCGTCGTCGTGGTCGTGGTCGTCGTGGTCGTCGTGGTCGTCGTGGTCGTCGTCGTCGTCGTCGTCGTCGTCGTGGTCGGCGCGGTCGTCGTGGTGGTGGTGGTGGTCGTTGTCGTCGTGTTTGTGGTCCTCGGCGTCGTCGTGGTCGGCATCGGCATCGGCGTCGTCGGCGTCGTCGTCGTGGTCGTCGTGGTCGTCGTCGTCGTCGTGGTCGTCGTGATCTTGTGGTCGTCGTGGTCGACGTGGGCGTCGTGGTCGCCGTGGTCATCGTCGTCGTCGTCGTGGTCGGCCCGGTCGTCGTGGTCGTCGTGGTTGTCGTCGCCTTCGTCGTCGTGGTCGTGGTCGTCGGCGTCGTCGGCATCGTCGTGGTCGTCGTGGTCGTCGTGGGCGTCGTTGTCGTCGTCGTTGTGGTCATCGTCGTCGTCGTTGTGGTCGTCGTCATCGTCGGCGTCGTTGTCGTCGTCGTCGTCTTCGTGGTTGTCGTCGTTGGCGTCGGTGTCGTCGTCGTCGTCGTCGTCGTGGTCGTCGTCGTCGTGGTCGTCGTCGTCGTCGTCGTCGTCGTCGTGTCGTCGGTTTCGTCTTCGTCGTCGTCGTCATCGTGGTTGTCGTCGTCGTCGTGGTTTTCGTGGGCGTCGGCGTCGTGGTCGGCCTGGACGCTGTGGTCGTTGTCGTGGTCGTCGTCGTCGTCGTCATTGTTATCTCGTGGTCGTCGTGGTCGTCGATGTCGTCGTGGTCGTCGGCGTCGTCGTCGTGGTCGTCGTGGTCGTTGTGGGCGTCGTGGTCGACGTGGTCGTGTTCATCGTCGTCTTCGTTGTCGGCGTAGTCGGCGTCGTCGTCGTCGTCGTGGTCGTCGTCGTCGTCGGTGTCGGCGTCGTCGTCGCGGTCGTGGTCGCCGTCGTCGTTGTCGTCGTGGTCGTAGTCGTCGTCGTCGTCGTCGTCATGGTCGTCGTGGTCGTCGTGGTCTGCGCGGTCGTCGTCGTCGTGGTCGTCGTCGTCGTCGTCGTCGTTGTCGGCGCGGTCGCCGTGGTCGTCGTCGTCGTGGTCGTCATCGTGGTCGTCGTCGTGCTCATCGTGGTCGTCGTCGTGGTCGTTGTCGTCGTTGGCATCGGCGTCGGCGTCGTCGTCGTCACGGTCGTGGTCGTCGTCGTCGTCGTCGTGGTCGTCGGCGTCGTCGTGGTCGTCGTGGTCGTCGTGGTCGCCGTGGTCGTCGTGGTCGACGTGGGCGTCGTCGTCGTCGTGGTCGTGGTCGTCGTCGTCGTCGTCGTCGTGGTCGTCGTCGTCCTCGTGGTCGTGGCATCGTCGTTGGCGTCGTCGTCGTTGCGGTCGTGGCCGTCGTGCTCGTCGTGGTCGTCGTGGTTGTCGTCGATGTCGTCGTCGTCGTGGTCGGCGTCGTCGTCGTCGTCGTCGTCGTCGTAGTTGAGGTCTCGTGGTCGTCGTGGTCGTCGTGGGCGTCGTGGGCGTTGGCGTCGTCGTCGTCGCGGTCGTGGTCGTCGTCTCGTCGTCGTCGTCGTCGTCGTCGTCGTCATCATCGTGGTCGTCGCCCTCGTCGTCGTCATCGTGGTCTCGTGGTCGTGGCGTTCGTCGGTGTCGTCGTGGTCGTGGTGGAAGTCGTGGTCGTCGTGGTCGTCGTCGTCGTCGTCGTCGTGGTGGTCGTCGTCGTCGTCGTTGTGGTCGTCGTGGTCGTGGTCACCGTCGTCGTCGTCGCCGGCGTAGTCGGCGTCGTCGCGGTCGTCGTGGTTGTCGTGGTCGTCGTGGTCGTCGTGGTCGTCGTCGGCGTCGGCGCCGGCGTCGTCCTCGTTGTAGTCGCTGTCGTGGTTGTCGTCGTCGTCGTCGTCGGCGGAGTCGTCGTCTCGGTCGTGGTCGTGGTCGTCGGTGTCGTCGTCGTCGTCGTCGTCGCGGTCGTGGTCGTCGTGGTCGTCGTGGTCGTCGTCGCGGTCGTCGTCGTCGTGGTCGTCGTCGTCCTCGTGGTCGTCGGCATCGTCGTTGGCGTCGTCGTCGTTGCGGTCGTGGCCGTCGTGGTCGTCGTGGTCGTCGTGGTTGTCGTCGATGTCGTCGTCGTCGTGGTCGGCGTCGTCGTCGTCGTCGTCGTAGTTGTGGTCTCGTGGTCGTCGTGGTCGTCGTGGGCGTCGTTGTCGTCGTCGTCGCGGTCGTGGTCGTGGTCGTCGGTGTCGTCGTCGTCGTCGTCACCGTGGTCTCCTTGTTGTCGCTGTTGTCGTGGTCGTCGTGGCATTCGTCGTCGTCGTTGTCGTTGTCGTCGTCGTGGTCGTGGGCGTCGTGGTCGCTGTCGTCGCCGTGGTCATCGGAGTAAGTCGGCGTAGTCGTTGTCGTCGTGGTCGTCGTTGTCTTCGTCGTCGTCGTCGTCGACAGCGTCGGCGCCGGCGTCGTTGTGGTCGTCGTCGCGGTCGTAGTCGTCGTCGTCGTCGTCGTTGCGTGGTCGTCATCGTCGTGATCGCCGTGGTCGTCGTGGTCGTTGTTGTCGTCGTTGTCTGCGCGGTCGTCGTGGTCGTGGTCGTCGTGGTCGTGGTCGTGGTCGTCGTGGCGTCGTCGTCGTCGTCGGTATTGGTGTCGGCGTCGTCGTCGTCGTCGTCAGAGCGGTCGGCGTCGTCGTCGTCGTCGTCGTCATTGTGGTCGTCGTGGTCGTTGTGGTCATCGTGGTTGTCGTGGTCGTCGTGGTCGTCGTGGTAATGGTCGCCGTCGTGGTCGTCGTGGTTGTCGTGGTCGTCGTCGTTGTTGTCGCTGGCGTCGTCGTCTTCGTCGTTGTGGTCGTCGTGGTCGTCGTGGTCGTCGTGGTCGTCGTGGCGTCGGCGTCGTTGTCGTCGTCGTGGTCGTGGGCGTCGTCGTGGTCGTCGTCGTCGTCGTGGTCGTGGTCGTCGGCGTCGTCGTCATCGTGGTCTCGTGGTCGTCGGGGTCGTCGTGGTTTTCGTGGTCGTCGTGGTCGTCGTGAAATTCGTGGTTGTCGTCGTCGTCGTCGTCGTGGTCGTCGTGGTCGTGGTCATCGTCGTCTTCGTCGTCGGGTCGTCGGCGTCGTCGTCGTGGTCGTTGTCTTCGTCGTCGTTGTCGTCGTGGTCGTCGTCGTCGTCGTCAGCGTCGGCGCGGGCGTCGTCGTCGTCGTCGTCGTCGTCGTCGTCGTCGTCGTCGTTGTCGTCGGCGTCGTCGTCGTCGTCGGCGTCCGCGCGCGTCCTCCCCGAGGGCCCGCCGCGCGCGGGGGGGCGGCCGCGGCCCTCGCGAGGCGCGTGTCCCCGGCGGCCTCGGCGAGGCCGAGGCGCGAAGGCTTGCCGTCGAGAGGCCGCGCCCGCGCCGGCAGCGTCGTCGTCGTCGACGTGGTCGTGGTCGTCGTCGTCGTCGTCGCCGTCGTTGTCGTCGTCGTCGTTGTCGTCGTCGTGATCGTCGTCGACCTCGTCGTGGCCGTCGTCGGCGTCGTCGTCGTCGTGGACCTCGTCTCGGCCTCCTTCTCCCCAGCTGCCTTTGGGAGCGGGGGGGCGGCGGGCGGGGGCAGGCGGATTATGAGGGGGAGGATGCGGAGGAACAGCAGGAAAGAGGACTATGTTGATGATGGTGATGATGAGGAGGAAGAGGAGGAAGAGGAGGAGGAGTTTCTGGTTCGGTTCGAATTTTCATGCTCGTTTCTGTTTGGATCGGTTCGATTCGGTCATTTCTGTTCGGTTCAGGTCGGTCCAATGCTGTTCGGTTCGAATCGTATTCTGCCCAGCTGGGTGCGGTTTTTCATGCTCGATCTCGTTTGCGTCCGTGTTTTGTTTTTGGTTCGGCTCGTTTCTGTTCGCTTCGGCTTGCTTTGCCTCGGCTCGTTTCGAACTGGTTGCCCATGTGCGTTTCGATCTGGTCGGGTTCGGTGAGATTCGTTTCGGTGAGGTTCGGCTCGTTTCTGCGTGCTCGTTTCGGTTGGGTTTGGCTTTGCTCGGTTGGGTTCGATTCGGTTATGGTCGGTTCTTCTCTGTTCTGCCTGGTTTCAGCCACGCGCAGGGGGGGGTGGGGGGAGGGGGGAGGGCTTCTTAGAACTCAGAAGCACCCCTGCTTCTAAGAAAACCTCCCCCCCTCCCTCCGCCCCCTTGTGCACGCCGCCAATGGCTCGGTTCGCTCACGCATGTTCGGTTATGCTCGGTCCGGTTGTATTCGGCTGGCTCGGTTCGGACTTGTGCGGCTTGGTTCGGTGCTCTGTGCTCGGTGCGGTGCGCCTCGGCTCGCTTCGCTTCGCTTCGGCTCGGCTACACATTTTGGCTCGGGCGGCTCTGCTCGGTTTGGTTCGGTCCTCTTCGGTTCGGATCGGATCGGTTTGGTGCCGTTCGGCTCGTTTCGGTCCAGCTCGTCAATTTGTGCTCATTTCGGCTAGATTCGGATCGTCCTGGAACGGCCCAACTCGGTTCGGTTGTTTCTTGTCGGTTCGGCTCGGTTGTTGTCGGTTCGTTTCGGCTCGGCTCGCATGTGTTCGAGCCGGTTATATTTCTGTTCGGTTCGCTTATTTCTGGTTCGTCTCCGCTCGGTTCGTGCCGGTATTTCTCGGTTCGAGTCGGCTCGGCTCGGTTCGGGGCTATGTATGCTCGGGTCGGCCTGGCTCCGATCATGTCTGGTCGGTTCGGCTCGGCTCGGTTTGGTTCGGCTTGTTTGATTTGGCTTGGGTCGGTCGATTCCGTTTCTCGGCTCCTGCTCGGAGAAGCCTTAAGTCGGGCGTGTCCCTCTACAGGACGAGTATTCAAAAGTGGTCAAACAAATATACTCCGGGGACTGTGTTTTGGAGTATGCTTGAGCATGCTTGGGCCATGTTTAACTCTTCGTCCAACATCTAAGAGAGGCCTCGGCGTGCATCCTCCGGCGCGGCGCGCCCTCTCGCGCTTGTCGTCCATCCTCGGCGCGCCGCCCTCTGTCGCGGGCCCCGCGCGTGCCCAGGAGAGCGGCGGCAACCGTGCAGTCCTCGTCCTCCTACCCCTGGGGGGTTCCTCCGAAGGGCTTCAGCGACCCGTCCTCCTCCTCCTCCTCCTCCTCCTCCTCCTCCTCCTCCTCCTCCTCCTCCGCCTCCTCCCCCTCCTCCCCCTCCCTCTCCTCCCTCTCCTCCTCCTCCTCCTCCTCCTCTCCTCCTCCTCCTCCTCCTCCTCCTCTCCTCCTCCTCCTCCTCCTCCTCCTCCTCCTCCTCCTCCTCCTCCTCCTCCTCCTCCTCCTCCTCCTCCTCCTCCTCCTCCCCCCCTCCTCCTCCTCCTCCTCCCCCTCCCCTCCTCCTCCTCCTCCTCCTCCTCCTCCTCCTCCTCCTCTCCTGCTCCTCGTCCTCCTCCTCCATCTTATCCTCCTCCTCCTCCGCCTCCTCCTTCTCCTCCTCCTCCTCCCTCCTCCTCGTCCTCCTCCTCCTCCTGCTCCTCGTCCTCCCCCCTCCTCCTCCTCCTCCTCCCTCTCCTCCTCCTCCGCCTCCTCCTTCTCCTCCTCCTCCTCCCTCCTCCTCCTCCTCCTCCTCCTCCCCCTCCCCTTGTCCTCCTCCTCCTCCTCCATCCTGAGGTGATCGTTTTCTTATTGTAGTGGCGTTCGGCCAGTGCTGCCGATCCGGGTCGCTCGAGGTGCCCCCCAGACTGGGAGGCGACACCTCGCCGACAGACGCGCGCACACGCTGGCAGACACTACGTGCACACGCGCACACACACACACACACACCATCATCCTCCCTCTCTGAGGGGTTCGTTAGCTTATTCATTGTTTTGCCGATCGGCGCGGGCCCTCGCCCCCCCCCATCCCCCCCTCCCCCAAAGGGAATAGATCTGGGATGTGTGTGGGCGCCTGTCCCAAGCAGGTGGGGTCTCCCCCACAGGACGCACCATTGCAAGCAGTCGCGCTAAGCAGAGTTCTGGAGCCAGACCTCCCCCTTCCCCCCTCTTCCGCCCAATGTCAGAACGCCGAATGAGAACATGTTCGCGAGATCAAGCTCCGCGAGGAAATTGAATGATCACCAGAGCCCTCTACCCCCCATCTTTCCGCAGCTTCTCTCGAGGCGGATCGAGATGTGACGGTCCCAGGGCCCGAAGACGTGCGAATATGCCAGGCGTGGAGCAAATGCACAGCCCAGATGCGCTCGTCCTCTCTCCTTCCTCCTCTCATGTTGGCGCACTGTGGGCACCTGAGCAGGGACCGAATGTTCTCGAGTCTTGGCCGTCTGACTCGACAAGGTCCGCCGCCGCCGCCTTCTCCCCCCCTCCCCAACCCGCGTGCTCAGGTACGCAGCTCACGTCCCCATGCATTGCGCGATGGTGGCGCTGCCTCTTCGACGGCCTGGGAAAAGGGAGTGGGACGACTTCGTGCGCGGTGGGTCTCCCTGACCCCCATCGCGTCGTGACGTAGTGTTTGTGGCTGCTTTTATGCTCAGGCCCCAGGACTGTAAACAAAAACGACTCGGGATGAAAACCGTTCCAGGTGCTCTTGGGGTCGACGTCGTGAACAAACCTGACGTCAGAGGTCGGGGTGAACAAACATGTGATGAATTGGCGGGGCGCAGCAAGAACCACGGCTAGGGAAACCGAGGAGAGAGCACAGGAACCATAATCGTGGCTGGGCATGTACAGTTCGGGAAGTGCGATTGGCAGGTGCGTAGGACATGGGAGCGATCGGGAGGCCAGGGGGAGCTGGGTGCGCGCGTCATATCTGACATCCTACCTTCCCCACCCATTCCTTCCCATTGCGATGATTCTTTTTGATCCGCCGACGGATGCCCAAACGGACCTGGATTCCCCAAACCTTCGGGTGATTGGTGATCAGAAAGGGGCAGTTGTGTACGTTGGAGGGAGGGAGGAGGATGAGACGGCGGATGTGCGGGAGGATGTGCAGGCATTGAAGGAGGAGGATTCGAAGGTGGCGGCGAGCAGGAGGATGAGAAGGAGGAAAAGGGTGGAGAATGGGCAAGGAGGTGGACGAGGAGGAACAGCATCGGCACGAGAAGGAGGAGCCGGTGGAGAGGACCCGTGGAAGGCGGGGTAGGGAGAGGAAGGGGGCGACGACGACGACGACGCCGACGACGACGACGACGACGACCCCGAGCGTGCGCGAGGCACGACGAGCACGAGCAGCAGCGGCAGCGGCGACGCTCTGCGATGGCGGCGGCCGCCTGGCCGCCCTGGTGCGAGAGCGCCACCTGGAGCGACCAGAGCGGCATGCCGATCCTTGAAAAATCAGGCTGGCGCTGCAGCGGGACCTCGGCGGAACCTCGGCGGACCCACCCAGGACCCGTGGAGGGCGGGGCAGGGAAAGGAAGGGGGCGACCACGACGACGAAGTAGTTGGATCCAAGAGTGTGACCCGCTCTGGTGCGAGATCGCCATATGGAACGACCGGAGCGACATGCCGATCCTTAACCAGGCCGGCGCTGCAGCGGGAGCACCGTTCCACGACAGTGAGATCTTCCGCCGTGGAGAGGACAGGTGTGCGGACCAAACCGTGTGGTGTTAGCAAGGTTGTGTAAGCCATGTCGTGGTCTGTGCGTGCTGTGTGAGCTACGTTGCGTAAGCTGCGTGGTGTGAGCTATGGAGAGCAAGCTGTGCGATGTAGCCACCTATGTGGTGTGATCTACGCTGTGCTAGTTGTACGGTGTAAGATAGGCGGTGTTCGAAGAAGATCAAACGCCAGAAACATTTGTTTCGCGCTCTGCGCGGATTTCTGGGATCCGCGCCAGGTCCCCGGCGGCGCCTCTGGCGCCGCCCCTGGCGCGCTCAGCGCGCCCGGGAGGGGGGTCCGGCGCAGATCCAAGAAATCCGCGCGGAGCTCCATAATAGGTGTGCTGCAAGCTTTGGCGCCCACCGAGGGGAGGAGGAGGAGGAGGCGGAGGAGGAGGCGGAGGCGGAGGAGGAGGAGGAGGCGGAGGCGGAGGAGGCGGAGGAGGAGGAGGCGGAGGCGGAGGCGGAGGAGGCGGAGGAGGCGCCAACGAAGCGTCCGCGGGCGGGCGCCGGGCGAGCCCTCGGCGGACCCACCCAGGGCACGGGGCGCCCGTGGGCGCCCACGAGGCGCCCGCGCGGCGCCCGCGGGCGGGCGCCGGGCGAGATCTCGTCGGACCCACGCAGGGCGCGGGGCGCCCCACGTCAAGCAGTGGCGAAGCGTCCCGGCGTGCAGATAGTCGGGGGTGGACAGAACCCCCAGCAGTGACACGCGGATTGGTGAATTGTCCGTTTTCGGTTCTCGAGAGGGCTCCGTGGCCGTCATTTTCCAGGCTTGCGTCCGCCAGGTTTGGGCCTCAGGTCGTTTTCACTAAACCACGTTTTACTAAAGGGGGGTCTGTCCATCCCCAATATAACTACCCTGTACCAAATAATGATCTAAGAACCGTTGGTGGTTCCCACGAAATGTTCTCAGAACACTTCTGTCTGGATCTGTCTGGTTTTAACCCATCGGGTTTATGTTCTAAGAACCTTGTTTTTGTTCTTAGAACATTTCTGGGTTCTAAGAACATTTCGTGGTAGGCCTACAGGAGTGCCCGGACGGTCGGTCCCCGCTCAACACTCAGGGCACGGGGGCGCCCACGAGCTCGCACGAGCGTGAAGTCGGGTCAGTCCCTCTACAGGGGGAGTGTGCAAACATAGTGAAGCAATAACGCTGGGGGCGATTTGTTTTTTAATTATGTTTGAGCATCTTGGGAGCATGTTTGGGGTATGCTTTATTCTATAGGCTTACGCCACATCCGCCGACCCCTCATCTTGGCGGTCTTGCCGGCTCGCTTGAATCGGGCTGGGGAGTCGTGTAGGGGTCCATAATGACCTCTCTTGGGGCTATGTGGAATCCGCTTGGGGTCATCTCGAGGCCCCGGGGGGCCCATCGGAAAAGAAGGACGCTAATGCAATCTTGGCATCGTTCTGGAGATGCCCAAAGGGTGGAAGCGTTGGATTGGGGCCCGTATATTTCTTGCTGGGGGCCGTTTTGAGGCCGTTTTGGGGCCTCTTGGGGGCCTCTTGGGGCCTTTTGTGGGCGTCTTGGGGGCCTCTTGGGGCCTCTTGGGGCCTTCTGGGGCCGTCTTGGGGCGGAAGGCTCGGATTGTCGGTTCGGGCTCCCCCTCTTGGGCACCTCTTGGGGCCGTTTTGGGGCCCTCTTGGGCTGTCTTGGGGGCCTCTTGGGCCGTCTTGGCGCCCTCTTTGGCCGACTTGGGCGCCTCTTGGGGGCCTCTTGGGGCGGTCTTGGGGTGCTCTGGGACCGTCTTCAACGCCGTGAAGGCCGACAAGTAGTATATGATCTAAATGTACGTTTTCCCATCGGAATTTGACGATTTTCGGCGCTTCGGCCCTTCTGAGGACTGCTCTTGGAGGCCTCTTGGGCCGTCTTGGAGGCCTCTAGGCTCGTCTTGGGGCCATCTTGGGCGTCTGGGAACGCTCGTTTGGCGCCTCGGAGCTCTCGTGAGCCGTCTTGGAGGAGTCTTGGGGCCTTCTTGGCCCGTCTTGATCCCGTTTTGGGCCCAGAAGAGCCCCGTGACGCGCTCGTCGTGGGCCTGGGGGGGGGGGTCGAATCTCCGGTTTGGGGTCCCAGGGGGGGGGGGGTTAGGGGGGGGAGCTATCTCACACGCCTAGAGACCCACAAGGGGTCGGCGGATTTTTCGTCCCAAGTCCGCCTGTGCCCGACCCAAAACGAGCGCCCACGGGTCACGGCCCCAACATTGCAGAGCGGATCTCTTCCAGAAAGTAGTGGGATGGGCCCGGAGAGTGTCCTGGAGAGTTTCGAACCGGATCTCGAAGTGAGTTTCGTGCGGATTTCTTTGGCCAGGAGTTAAGACTACAAAAATCCACGTGGAATGAATTTCGTTATTCGCTCGCCGTTTCGGGGTTTCGCATTGATAGGAATCCACGCCACCAATCCGCTGCAGCGCGTCTGCACGGTCGGTGCAATGACACGAGCTCCCATGAGCGCCCACGGACAGGAACGTGGAAGTCTTCGGCGGACCCGTCCAAGTACTGAAGTGAGCAGCCAGGTACTACTAACCCCTAGGTGCAATCACTGCTTGGGGGATCACGTCATCGAGCTCTGGTGTGCTGAACGACCCGTCGGATATGATCCAGGGGGGGAGGAGAGTATTGTTTATGCCATCTGGATGGGGGGCGGGGAGGGGGAAGCGGGCAGGGGAAGAAACGGGGAGGCAGAGGACGTCTGCGAGGAGGGATGCAGGAGAGGAGGGAGAGGCACGACGGGGATGGGGGAGGACGGAGAGGATGGAGAGAAGGAGACGGGAGAGAGAGTCAGAGAGAGAGAGAGAGAGCGAAAGCGAGAGAGCGAGAGAGCGAGAGAGAGCGAGAGCGAGAGCGAGAGCGAGAGCGAGAGAGAGAGCGAGAGCGAGAGAGAGAGAGAGAGAGAGAGAGAGAGAGGAGGAGGAGGAGGAGGAGGAGGAGGAGGAGGAGGAGGAGGAGGAGGAGGAGGAGGAGGAGGAGGAGGAGGAGGAGAGGAGGAGGAGGAGGAGGAGGAGGAGGAGGAGGAGGAGGAGGAGGAGGAGGAGGAGGAGGGAGGCGGAGGCGGAGGGGAGGCGGAGGCGGAGGAGGAGGAGGAGGAGGAGGAGGAGGAGGAGGAGGAGGAGGAGAGGAGGAGGAGGAGGGGGATACAGAGAGACAGCGAGACAACTAGAAAGAGAGAGAGAGAGAGAACACCGTCAGTCTCTTGGCGGGCCTCGACGTCTCGCCCCCTGCCGCTTCCTGCTGACCTGCTTATGCCCTCGCCTTCTCCTGGACAAGAGAGGGAGAGAGAGAGAGAGAGAGAGGACGAGAGAGAGAGAGAGACGATATATATATATATATATATATATGTATGTATAGAATGAGAGAGAGACATACATACAGAAATAGAGATGAGAGAGATATAGAGAGAGAGAGAGAGAAAGAACAACAGAGATGGGGAACGAGAGAGAGAGAGAGAGAAGAGAGAGAGAGAGAGAGAGAGAGAGACCGAGAGGAGCGGGGGCCGCGAGCAGATAGGGAGACGAAGCAGAAGGATGGAGGAGGGATGGCGGCCCGCAGCCCACCTCCTCTGCGGCTCCGCCTGCGTGCCCCTCTGCCCCCCTTCTCCGCGCGCAGAGGAGGAGGAGGAGGAGGAGGAGGAGGAGGAGGAGGAGGAGGAGGAGGAGGAGGAGGAGGAGGAGGAGGAGGAGGGAGGACGGGGAGGGAGGAGGAGGAGGAGCAGGAGCAGGAGGAGGAGGAGGAGGAGGAGGAGGAGGAGGAGGAGGAGGAGAGGGGGAGGGGGAGGGGGAGGAGGAGGGGGAGGTGGAGGAGGAGGAGGAGGTGGAGGAGGAGGAGGAG